TTCAGCTACATACCATTTTCCAGCAGCAGAGATGATAATTATGAGTTAATGGTAGTTTAGTCTTGTAGCAGTACTGAAGCATTCTGAGAAAAAAATTAAAAGAGATATTAAGCATTTCATACTTACTTAATATAATGTCTTCTAAACAGTTGCCACCTTTGTCCTGTAAGTTTACAGACGTCCTCAGTGCTAATATAAATTCCTTTAATTTTTGTACATAATGTCATAATAAGTATTATGTGTAATTTTAACTACTGTCCTTTAAAAGTCAGAGGAATTAATATAACAAAAATAAATAAAGTTACTTGGTTGCCTGAGTAATAATGGAGGATATAGAGTATGGATTTCCTGGTACATGAGGAGGTAGACTGTTTACTGAACACATCTTTTCTTCTCTCTGCAGTAAAGATCTTACTGCCGTACTTACTTGAGCTTGTGAAATAAATGTTACAATGCATAAGATTTTTCTTATTGTGTCTAAAATTTATGAAAATACATTCTGAAACAGAAGGAATAATCTTATTTTTTGTATGATTGCTTGATTCAGTCATTATAGTAATTACCTATGTAGGAACTTCACTATAGACTCCATAGCCAAACATCTTAAAATTAAAAAAGCTGCCAACTTGAAGGAATTGGGAACGTATTTTAAAATAGTTTTATACTTTTTTTGTTCCTTTCTGGATTGCATGATGTACAAAGTAGTTCCCAAAAAATGTTCCCTCTGACTTAAAAATGAGTCATCACCAGGATAAATTTCTGTGATGTTTGTCCTACCATGGATAAATCTAAGGGAAATAAATTTTTTAAGAAGTATTTAAAATGCTGTGTCACTAGACAAGCAAAACAGGTTAGTACCCTTGAAGAAAGCACTAAGTGCAAACACATTTTCAACACAACTCTCACGTGAAAAAACTTTCTACTCTTGTTTCACAAACAGAAGAGTATACCAATTACTTCTTTTAACACAGAAGATTAGCTTTACCAGGCTCTTTGTTTGCATGGGGTGGGCGTAGGGTGTGAGTGTGTTTATTTTTAAACAAGCTAAGGAGAGCTTTTTTGTGTTGAGGTAAACATCTCACAAGAGCTGCTCAATCCCCATTCCACCGACCACAAAATACAGCAATGCTAAAGAGAAAATCCACTCTCCGTGGACCAGCCCTACCTAGCATAAGAGAGAATTATCAGACTGAATGTTTCCTGAACAACCTGAAGTCTTAATTTCCACTGCTGCTGTGTGTTTTTTCACTAAGATCAGTGGTCTTTTTCTTGTGATCATATGATATCTCAGAGTCTAAAACCCATTTAAGGACCCAATTCTGCAACTCTGTTTAGATGCCTGGACTTCAGTAATGGGACTTTAAGACTAAGTATGGCTACTCACCATACTTCCAAAGAAATAACTTATAAGTACTGAAAAGCTGCTAAACATTTTGTTCAGATGAAATGAAAATTTAGGCATTACACTGAGAAAAATGAAGAACACTGGGCAGAAAGATTTAAAGCTTTAAAGACTGATTATGCTTTTATCAGACTTTTAGATGCTGATAGCAACTGTAGCATTTTCAAAGTTTGTATAACAGATTTGAAAGGGCAATTTAAAAAAGTTGTGTTTGTTTTTTTTTTTAAACAACATATGGACAAAGTGATTTTGCCAGGAAAATCCAGTTGCAACATGCAAATTATGTAGGTCACCAAGACAAACATTTCTAAAGCGCGAAATCTTCAGCATCCAAAGGAGCGATGTAATTTGCAAAGAAACCAAGCACCATAATTGTCAGTGAAGTCTATGGGAGCTCCAGCTGTCCAGTAAACCCCTAAGAAAACAGATCACTTCTATAAAAGCCTTAAATATTATTTCAGATTGATTGTTTCAGGCATACCCAATTTCAGACCTGGAAATATACTGTACTAGAAAATTTGAAGCCCAATGAACAAACAGCAGAAATTAACAGAATCTTACATGAAGATTGTGTACAATTTCTCAAGAGGTGAGAAAAGATGAAATGTCTTAGTTGTCTCTAATTCCCATACAAATGAAGTCTTCCAAAAATGAAAAGCATGATCTCCTTCATACCTATAAAACACACCCTGGCACCATACAATTTGAATTAGCTGAGGGCATGAATATTTTTCAGTATCTTGATTCTTCTATAGAAAAGTCACAGAAACTCCCACCTGTATAAAATACAATAAAAGCTTCAGTAAGTTCAAATGTGTGTTGCTTTGGTTGTTTTTTTTTGTTTGTTGTTGTTTTTTTTTCTCTCTTTTTGCTGATGATAATTTCTGTATCCTAAATGGAAATATGTTTCTATACCAAGAACAGATGCATGCACATGTATTCAAAGGAAAAGAGGCCACATATTTTCAGTGTCCTCTGATTCCTTAGTTATCCACATTAGTTACCAAATTTATTTTCTCAAACCTGCAAAGGTTTTTTAATTATTTTTAGGGGTGCTGACAGAATATATGTCACTGGCCCACCTCAAAAATATTATCTTCTGAAAAACAAACCCACCCAAACCCCTGTGTTCTTTTTCAGTATTTTTTCATTTACATATTTATACAGTATGTCAGAAAATAAAATTTATTTTTCTCTGGACTAATTACTATTTATCCATTACAGTAGGATACACAATGTTGGTTTCACAAATTTCACGTCAAGAAGTTCTTAATAAAAAAAGATTATGATAATAAATTTTTTATTTCTTATAGCTAGAATTCAGTTATTTTGCTAGAGGTTGAAGTTCAGAATTGCAAAATTGTAAAACACATGTTAACAACTAAGTAGTAAACAGTTTAAATTACCTGTGTAAATATGGGGCTCCGCAGCTGAGTGGCAAAGCTGTAGGCAAACTAGAAACTTTTTCATGTGTTTCAGGGTCTATTAAAACATCAGCTCCTATAGATGTATGGTTGTTATTCTCACGTCTTCATTACATTCTTAACAGTATGTAAGTTATAGTGCACTAATGTCAATGACAAAGGGTATTTCCATTCTTCTGGGTAGGAGGAAACAGACCAATGCTGTGTAACCCAGGTGTATTCAGAAGAACAATTTGTGTAAAACAAAGGGACTCCATCTCTCTCTTGTCCTTTGGCTTGGTTGGTTCTCTGTATTTACCTTCAGCACAACCGTGTTCATTCTTATTCTCAATTCTTGTTTGTCTCGAAGACATTTCTGGAACAGAATTTTTACTTGTTTTTCCATACTTATCTCCAGTTTGATAGTTGCTGTTCTTTTGCGAGGAGCGTAAGGATGCTGCAGATGACTAGTTGACTTTGCATAAGAACTCTATTGTAAATTCTTGCTGCAATTCTGACAGGTAAAGGTGAGCATAACCATCTACTGATGAGATCTTCACACTGCTATTCTCTATACATCTTGTCAGATCAGCCATAGCAGGGACATGCTTGCCAGAAGTTACAGTGAAGGATTTACATTTAAATTAATTTGGTCCTTCTGCATGGTGATGTATGGCAAGAAACTTTACTCTGTGTTTGTTTGCATACATGAACTCAAGAGGAAGCAAAATATCTAACCTTCATATCCACTTCCCCCTGTTTCAACAGGATTTTATCTAGCAATAAGGTTGTCATTTAATATCCATTCATAAACTATTAAGATACATGGCAAACTGACCAGGCACAGCTGCCCACAGGCAGTAGATATTTGTTTCCAGTTGCTTCTTAAGAAGCACTGAAGAGAAAGCCTAAATTATCTTGATCATATCAGTTATCAGTAGAGTTAATGGAAAGTCCACATTAAAATTGTGTACATTAAAATGCCACATGCTCTGAAATAGTCTCTTTATTTATAAAATTAAAATAAGCCTGTAAAAATGGCATGTAACATGTATTTATGCATTTTTACCAAAACGGAAATTTATTGAGAACGTTTGCACAGCTATTGCTGGGATGTGGATAGAGCATATATCTGAAGAATTTAAAATATAATAAAGATTTGAGAGTTTTACAATACAACATTTGGAAAGTCTCAGAAGAATAGCCTCATCTTAATGCAGTGATATTCAAGTACAGATTGCTGCTTCAATTAGCACTTTTGTTCAAAACAAAAACCATTTTCACAGCATATGCCCTTGTGCTACCCCTTCTACAAAGACGAAGCAAATTATTCTCAACAAATTACTCCAAACAAGCACTGCATCTACCTCAAACCCCAGATTAAAGCTTTGCCCAAAGAGGAGATATAGTTAGATATAGTTTAGAAAATGCACTACTCACATGCTGAAACTAGAAAAATTCTGTCAAGATAGAGAATGCTTTTCTAGTCATCTGCAAAAGTTCTGCCCCAAAAGGAGATATTTTCCTTTGTATTGTCCTTATGCCTGATCACTGCACAGAAGATATCCTTAGTCTGCTTTCATTTGAAGACTCCAGGTATAGCACTAGATAAACACAGAAGTGCAAACCCTCTCAAATAAGGTGTGGAAAAAAAAAAGTTAACCAAAGATTATTCACACTCCTCATTTGTTTTATCTCAATTTAATCAGCTTTGTCTCATTTGACTGACCTTTAATCAAATATATTTCAGCCAGGATCATACTTTGGCACAGCACTAGAAAAGCCTGGAGTCCAATAAAAATGAAATATGACAGCACTAGCGTATTAGTAAGGTGAGAAAGTCTGCTGAAGGTATTTGGAGCACTAAAGATGAAAATTTACCGTAAAGAATTGCAAAAGGACCCTAAAAAAAAAATAAAATCAAGTGAGCAGACAATAAGGCTGCAGATATTTCAGTGGAGATAAATATAATGTGATATAAACGGGAAAAGGCAATTCTAAGTTTTATATATAAAGGATGGGCTCTGAGCTGACTACCACCACCCAGGAATGAGATCTTGGTGTTATGATTGACAGTTCCATGAAAACATACTCTACGTTCAGTAGCAGCTTAAGCAGTATATCAAATGTTAGAAATTTCTAGGAAAGGAACAAGAACAAAACAGAAGATAGAACTATACCGCTGAATATGTTTGTGGTTAACCTGCATTTTGAATACTATATACAGTTCTATACAGGCCACACCAACAGGATCCCCCTTGTCAAGCTGCCCAGAGATGTGGATGGTTAGTGTGGCCAAAGCAGAACCTAAGCAAACCATAGTACTAGATTGCTTATGCTCGAATTCAAAACAAAGTAATACAGTATAACTGTAGAAGCGTTTTTGTACTCAGTGGCCCAGTAAAAGTAGTATTGTCACAGCTAGTAACAGGCCACAGGTCTTATACTATGTCTTATGCTAACTGTGCAAAGCCCTAGGCTGACCCTTTAGGCTCATTACCAACTTGTTATGAGAACACGCTGAATAAACTGGAGCTTGGTAACTGTTATCTTATTATAATGGACTGCCAAAGTGTGGGGAAATAGCAGAGGCCTTGAAAACATAGGCACTGGTTGAAAATAGAGGCCACGGAACAATAAACTGATAGTAAATTACTGGTCGCTGAAGAAGTACAATCTCAAGAGCTACAAAAAGACTGCTTTTGCTTTAAAAAAAAGCAGCAGCTAATAAATTGGGGGGGGAGGGGACAGACGGACATCAGAAAAAAATCCAAGCAACAGGATAAGGCACTTGCCATGGCTTGGGAAAGTTATCCCTCAGTATCCTGAAGCAGGTAGTCACGGTGGAAGCTAAGTTAGAATCTGTCTAGAAATTCAGCCATCTTCCAGAAGAACAAGATCCTGGCCCAGGGGGAAGGTAGAAGGTTACCCACTAGTGCTAAGGACAGTGCATCAGCTCTGTGGTGCTGTACACTTGCAGTGAACGCGGTATTACTGTTAAGGACCGACTGCTGTAAGTATGTAGTGATACTGTTTGACAATGTTTTTAACAACTAAATGTTAGCATGAAGCGTGTTTCTAATGAAACATCAGTCTAAAATTTTTAAAACTTAAAACTCACTTGATTTATCAGGCTTCTAAAGACTTCCACCACGGTGCACACACTCAAATGCATTTAGCAGCAACACCAAAGGGATGCTGATGAGGAGTAAAGCTCTTAGAAACAGTAAACGGGGGCTAGATGGACCTTCAGTCTGACTTGGGGTAGCCATTTCCACAGAGCAACACTCTGCCCTGGTCCTCTCTCAGGCCCCCTTAACAGACTCACACAGGTACTTAACAGGTGAAACAAAAGGATTCTGAACCTGACAGCCTCTCAGAAAGTACCATCGTATTTCACCAAGTCTTGTACAGCAAAGCAACAATATATAGAATAGTTCATTCTATCAAATGTACAAAATCCTAGGTTTTAGTCTTACTAAGAGTAAGCAAACTCTTTAGTGTTCAGCTGCAAAGGATATGCTTAAATAGAGGACTAAGTAACATTTAAAACTGTAATTTAAAATGGCTGTATTCTGATCAAGTTGACAAATGCATTAGCCACATGCATGTTAAATTATGAATTATGTAAGTCTACTTTGTCAGACAACTAGGGACATTTATTTTACAAAAGCATTACATATGTAAAACTCACCTTTTTTCTTTCTGGGGATATAATACATGAAGGTAAGTACAGGTGAGAAGAAAACTTGTTCCAGAAATCTAGAGCTTGTAGAAGCTGTTCCTAATTAAGCATGAAAAAAAAACCACCAAAACAAAAAACCCCAGTAACATAATGAGTTTTTCTATGCAATAAAAACATTTTAGCGGATTTCATCCTCTTCTTTTCTGGAGCAGAATCCAAGAAATCCCCTCCATTTTACACAGAGCAACAACAATTTTGTTGGGTTGTTTCCCTCCCCTATGGAGCACAGGTAACAGGACTTCTGTGCGACTCCCAGTTTCTGCGTTACAGGCTTCACAAGAACGCGGCAGGCAAGAGACACTACTTCCTAAGCAGCAATTCTTTTACTCCTGAATGGCAGTTCAAGTACTCTTCATTAAGACTGCTTTCCAAAACCTGCTTGCCTCCGATGGAGACAGTAACACGAGCCATACTCCTCCCGAGCCCATCTTCCCTTCCGCGGGGCAAAGGGCCTGACAAAGCCAACCCACCACGTACCCTGTAGGCACTGACGACGAAGGCAGCCCAGCGGCGGGTGGTCTCCGCCTGCTGGAAGGGGTGAGCAGAGGCGGGGAACGCCGCTTTATACAGGTACTCGAAGCAACAAGGAGACAACAGCAAGAGGGAGCCCCCCGCGTAGTGCACCTTCACCGAGTCGTCCCTGTACAGCACCATCACGCTTTCCACGTCCATCTCCCCGGAAGGGGCTACGCAGGACAACGGGGAATCAACAGAAGGCGCCCGTGGCCCGCCTCGCGGGAAGCCCGGGGCGGGGCGGCCCGCCGAGCTCCCTCCCTCCCTCGCATACGTTTATTTGGTGAATTTACCTTATCTTCCTGCTAGCAGATAACAGGTCGAAAATGTGACCCGATTTATACACACATATGTAAAACAAGCTAGATGAAAATACAGACTGTGTCTTTTTACTTTAACTTTTTTTAGCTTTTACGACTACCTGCTGGAAACAGGGATGTCTTTTTTTATCTACAGAAGTACAGATTTCTTAGATCAGTATGTAATCATGGCAGAAGTACATTCAGTACAAATTCCCATTCTCTACAACTGCTTTCTCAGCAAGAGGGTAGGTCAACATCCAGTCAAGTGGCTGCAGACACAGCCATACATTAAAAGAAGTCTGGTTCTATTTGTAATATCCTTTTTAATGACTATTATTCTGCATAGTACTTGTCTGAAGCAAGTTTCAAAGTATATATTTGGATTATGAATCCTCCTTTTATAACTTTTATTGTATGTAAATCTAGCAGTATAGAGATACTTGGTTGTAAAGCAAGCAAGTATAACATTTATAGGGCTGAACTAGGGTTCAGAAATACACATTCTAGTCCTGGCTGAGTTTTGAAGTATTTGTATTTTATCCATCAAAAATACAAATAATGGTACTTCTCTGCTTTATTACTTTTTATTATTTACAGAAGATGCATTATATTTTGCTGGCAACTTCACTGCTATGGTTAGAACCCTAAGCATAGGAACTGTGGAAATAGGTCAAGTAGGCTGAAGTAGAGGTGGCAAATCAGCAATTCACAGAGTGCAAACAGTGCAGTATCTTCCTTGCCTTTTGGCCAGGATGTCATTTTCTGTTCCTGTATCAACTACAAGGGTCCACAGGCATAAACTGGATGATTAGAACTATAATTGAGTCAGAGAAAAATTGCAAACTTGAACTATCACCAATTGAATGAGTTCTGTGCAGTAGGAAAGAAAGGCAGAATGTGATAATGAAATACTGGCCCAGAGAGAAATAAGCCAACATTCAAAAACTGTGACCATCTGTTTTCCTAATAAATAAATAAATAAATAGGCCAATAGCACAAAGTCCTTAGCAGATTTGAAAAGATATTACTGAGAAAAAGTTAACTTTATTTCTGAATATGTAACTCTCATTCAAAAGCAAACCACATGCAAAGAAGCACCTCTTGCAGCCCAGTTTGAAACAACTTCAAGCAAAGTGTGATTTTCAAATACTAAACATTTTCTTTAAATCACAATTGAGTTGCCAGGAGTGGCAAATATTGTACATACTACTTCTGATGTGTGAAGCTTGGTCATGTGCCAGAATTTGAATGCAAAGGATGTTTCTTTTCAGAACCAGCACTAAAGAAGTTTGCTTCACTTCTCCCCTAAAGTTTCCTTTCCATGTTGCTGTACCTTCACTGGCTTACATTATGCCACAAAGAAAAGAAATTTTTTAAAGGGTTGTTTATCTGTAGTGTATTGTCCAGAAACTTGTAGATGAAAAACACTTTTACACAGTGCGCTTAAAACTTGTAAATGCTAAAATTCAGGTGAAATCTTTAAACCTCTTAAGACTCACCTCTATCATACACAGAACTACTGGCAGTTAAAAGTGGGCAGAGAAGCAGCAAATGGCGATTGTGACAGTGCAAAACCTGCTTCTTTCTTTAGCTCTCTCACATCTCATTCCAACATCACTAATTTGGTATTAGACTCCTGTGAAATTTAAGACAAGTAGGACAGATTGTTAAACATTTAAGGCAAAGATTATCCTGTCTTCCTTACTCAGTAGGACAAAGTTAAAACCAATTTTTCCTTACTGCAATACAGGCTTAAAGCTCTTACAAACCTTCATATGCACAGACATCACAAACTTCTCCACTCTTTTGAGCAAAAGTCCCACTTCGATTTTTCAGTATTGCTGGTGGAGGGAAAAAAGCTTATTTTGCAAACCTTGATCTGAATTGCCTTAAATATACAATTCCTAGTTCCCAAAATTTTTGTATGGGATGACTTAGCATATTTCTTATCTACATCTAAGACATACTGTCTCCACAAGCTGACAGAGTATACACCTGGAGTCTGACAGCTACTTTTCAGAAAAAAAAAAAAAGGCACTTATACAAAAGATGCAAAACTAAACATGCAAGGCAGAGTCTCTTGAAGACACTATTACCTTACTATAATGCATATTTGAATGCAAAAAAAAACCCACAACAAAACCAAACTTTTTTAAAAGCAAAAAGACAAGATAGTGTAAATTATACCAAAGGAAACAAAGCTAGTTAAATTTTCTCTTCAAAACTCCAATCTAAATGAGTATGTTAAATAAACATCCAGAAAACAGTCAGTGCTCACTGTATTAGCAGACACACAAGTTATTTCACCAAACAGATAACAATTATTTACATGCATATTTACAACATGTGTTCTTTACAGTAGCTACCTTTTGGGAAGTATTTCCCATTTGTTTTTGGTAAGGGGTTCTACTCAGTCTAACCAATAACAGGTAACAGGAAGTAGTACAACAGTTTGGCAACAACAATGGTGTATCCTAGGAAGACTAACATGATTATACAGGGTCAAAAAAGAGCAGCTGGCTTCAGAATGTTAAAATTTATGAAATATCTGAATTTACTCAAACTACAAAATTAAAACAAGCTATATAAAATAATTAAAAGAATGGAGAAAGTTACAAGGGTTGCTGGAAGGTTAGACATGTTAGATACATTCAAAAAATATATCAAGCACTGCACATACTCTTGGAGAAGCATGGGTTAAAACAATTATATTCATGTAGTCTTGAAGAACACAGCAAATTAAAGGATAGTTTTTGCTTGTAAAAGTTGAAAGTAAGCTTACCTGAATCAAAATTCTTGAAAGCACCTGACTTCCAAAATACTGCTTGCTTTTTCACATATCAACATATAACATGTTTATTCCAGGAAAAAGAGTCCAGACCTCACTCATGTTTTAGAAGAGGAAGGAAAAGGAAAGAAACAAAACAAACACCCACAGAACAAACCCTTCACAAACCACTTCTCATGATCTCATGATTGTGATCTACGGGGGAGGGGGGAAATATCTGTATTTGGATCATATGCTCCTTAGTTAAAAAAAAAAAAATTCAATACCAGATCTTGTATATGGTAAAAAGGATAAGTCCTAATGTATACTAAACCAAGCAAGCAATTAAATTTAGATCAAGTTATTCTTCCCCTTTCACCCCCCAAGGGAAATTTTATGGGACAGTTCCCCATTAAATTTTAATTTCCATTATGATACTTCTAAAGTCAATTTTATTGCAGCCAAAACACTGTTCATATACCTGTACATAAAATAAACTATGATATATACACAACATATTAAGTTACAGGGCATAAGTTTACAATGTTTGGCAGATTCTGTTTAACAAAACAAAATTGTGTAACTTTAGTACTTAGAGAAACTAAGCTTCCTTATTTTGGTACAAGTGTTGTGTCTCCCCCTGTATTTTAACCATACCTAAACTGGTTTAATAAACTAACATTAATGTGTAACATCTCACTGTTTTCTCTTATGCTCTGATTCTAGACAGAATTTTTCATATGCTTCTTCAATTTCTGGATCCATCTTGTCAAAGTTATCAAAATACCTAAAAAAAAAAAAAATCACCAATTTAAGTTTATGTACAGATTTTCAGAAACAGTAAATAGGTGAAATATTTATGTAGATGTCAAGAATAAAACAGAGCTTTATAAATAGTAGTTAACTATGACATTTATTAAAAGGGAACTAAGAAGAAAAAAAATTATGGGTACTAGGAAAACAAACAGAAACCTCAAAGCAGCATAGATATGTACAAATTGCTACAGTTTGTCACCATTTTAGATCATCTTATGCTGTCCATAGGTTAAAAGACAGAAATAATTTTCAAGAGGATAGAAAAATGCAATAATGCAATACAAGCTTTCAAAAATTTAATAATTCATTTGCACTGATGTATTTACAAAAAACAATTAGCATCATATTAGCATAATTTTGGTTGGTTAACATCCTAGTTCAAATACTGCCATCAACTGCCTTGGTTGCACACTACTCATAAAAACATATTTATATAGAAAACCTGTATTCCTATTTGTTGATATATGAAAGAAGGCAACCTTAATTCACCTCCCTTTTGCATCTGCATTATATTACCTTCTATTACATGGTAACCAGTCTTTCAGAAAAGATCTCTCTTAGGTCAGAGAAAAGAATGGATCCCATTAATGATAATCAGTATTGCGCAAAGCAGAGACTACCACAGAGTTTCAAAATAAAGCTGGGAAGTGATGGGGAATCACTTAACAGCTTGCTTTCTCCTCATGTTATTGGGAAATAACTTGAGTGTTCCTTGTTTTCTCTAGGTCCAACTGGAGCGTTCATCACCATAAATCAGGACAACACAGTTATAGCTTGAACACGATAGTGTATATAATTCTAAACAACCTTAAAAAAAGTCAGCAGCTATTGACTCTCAAAAAGTGTGCATTAGTTTCAGGTGCCCAGTTTATTATCTTCTGTGCCTTAGTTCCAAACAAAGGAATCTGCATGTCTCATCTGCACAGAGGCCATAAATGGTGTGTTCTGTGCAAAACCACAGAAAGTGCTACAGAAACATATAAGGAAAGCATTTTTTGAGCACTGTACATTAAAGAAACTGTTTACATATTTGTTTTATTTGTTCATCCTTTCCTGTAGAAGTATAGACTTGAGAAGGAACTCAACATAGAACCCTTCTCCCTGATGTCAATCATGAGAAATAGCTGACAGATCAGGATAGATTTGTCTAAGCTTTTCTTAAGCCTTCAACAAAGAAGGTTCCACAGTCACCTTGCATGAAGGTTGACTCAGTCTTCCACATGTCACTCTTCAGATTTGCTGTGTTTAACTGCTGTCTGTCTCCATTTTGCATT